CCCCCCCCATGTATTTTACGTAGAAGATAAAGAACTCTGGGCGGAATCAGGCAACCTCCCAAATCGTTCATTCAGAAGCCCGAAGTTAACCACCCACAGGGTGCCTGGGGGCGCCTAAAGTCAGCCTGGTTGTGGCGCCTGGCAAAGTTGCCCTGTGGAATGTGTCTGGGGGTCCGTATATCACCACGCACACGCTCAAGTTGACTGCGGACGCCAAATCAAACAGCCACCAGCATGGGAGTTTAGGTCTCTCAACACAGGAAGTGGAAACCAGCGAGTCAAAGGACTCAAAGTCTTCCTATGTTCACGGTGACTCAGGTGCACATCGAGCGGGAGGGCCACCCTGAGAGGCATGGAGAACGGCAACCTTACTCAGAAGGGTTTCTGAGCTGTCAACCTGGGCCCCCAGGGTAGTGAGGGGCAGAGTACTAAAGAAAAGCCTCTAGAGGAAGGGCCCGAAAGCATGGCCACAAGGCAAGGAGATGGCAGGTTGGGATACGCGAGGTGTGTGCTGGGCCACAGCAACTTCTCTATCTTCATGAGACAGACCTGCCCCCTGAGAACTGCAGGTGCGTGAAGCCTAAAGCCAATAGTCTTTAGTCTGTCCACACTAAGGCTCAGAGTTTCCATCTATCTGTGATGGGCTCTAGTGACAAGCACGCGCGCGCGCGCATACACACACACATACACACAAAGCGTTAAGGCTCCTGAAATTATATCTGTATTAAAATAACCTTCAGATGATAGAGGTACAGCTCTCTTTATCAATAGCTATATCTGTATTCATTCTATCTATCCATCCATCTATCCATCATCTCTCTCCACCATCCATCCATCCATCCATCCACCACCATCCATTTATCCATCCATCCACCACCATCCATTTATCCATCCAACCATCCTTCCTTCCATCCATCCATCCACCCACCCACCCACCCTTTCATCCATGTATCCATCCATCATATAGCTCCATCATCCATCCACCCCTCCACCCGTCCATCCACCCAACATCTACCTGTGTATCTATAAGGGGGCTTCAAAACGTTCATGAAAAGTAGAATTAAAAAGATAATAGAAGAAAGATAAAGGTAGGGAAGAATAAGAGTTCAAGGCACTAGAGGTAACTACTGTTAATGGTGATCCATGGAGGGGATTGCAATCACGGCAATGAAGGGAAGTGTATGATTTGTTGCACATAAAGCTGATGATCTGCTCTGCAAACCGTCATTCAATTCACGGTCGTTTTTTAAAAGAGACATTTTTTTCCCCATTAAATTTGTAATCCTGTCTCTCTCTCTTCTTTTTACGCATCTATCCACCTACCTAACTACTCTATCTATCTATCTATCTATCTATCTATCTATCTATCTATCTATCTATCTATCTATCTATCTATCTATCATCTTTGTATCTCCCCCTACCTCCCTATCTACCCATCTACCCACCTCCCTACCTTCCTATCTACCTTTCTACCTATCTATCTGGAGTCTAGGTGTGGTGCTGTAGGATAAGCAACAATCACAAAGTCAGAAGTTCAAACTCACCAGCCCCTTCTCGGAAACCCTATACAGGGTCGCTAAGAGTAAGACCTGACTTGACATCATTTCACAACATCTACCTACCTCTGTCTCTATCATCTACCTATCATGCTAATGGCTGAGAATCCCTCCCATAGGACTCTTTGATGGAGAAGTGTGTAAACTACCTTCACTGAAGGGTTAAAATGCAATGCAGGAAAAGCAAAGGTGTGCTATCCAACACAGGGCAGTGAGGAGGGCTAGCGCACAGTCTTTTCCTCAAATCACCCACTCATCCAGTCTCATCTTCTCAGGGTCTCCTCCAGGCTTGTGGACTTTCTTTTCTTTCCAAAGCTGCCGGTGACAAAATGACCCTCATTGTACTCTCTGAGATGGCCTTCACCAATGACGGATTCCCCGGAATGGGGAAAGAAACTTAAAAAGAAATGAAGCCAATAATCAGATGAAGCTGAGGTGAACTTGCCTTTGGAAGGCATTGCACTTTGGTGGAGTACAGAGCCGAAGTCGATGGGATTGTAATGCACATGACCTGTGTTATCTGCGGGAGTCCTGGTGCGGCGCTGTCAGGGAAGTGCTAGACCACAAGGGTGGTTTGAACTGTAAGGTTAGCGGTTCAAATCCACCGAGTCGTTCCTTGGAATCCCTGTATAGGGTCGCTATGGGCTGGAACTGACTCAACGACATTTAACAATAATATAATTTGCTTACTAAAGATGAGGCTTTCTACTCCCGTAAGGATTTACACCCTTGGAAACCCTGTACAGGGTCGCTATGGGTCGGAACCGACTCGATGGCACTTAACAACAACAACAACAACATTATCTTTAAAATAATCTAACCCACGTGTGTATTATACAGATATGCATTTTCACGTTTGTGTATTTTGTTGTTGTTGCATGCTGCATCCGATTTTAAGTGCTAGCGCTCCCATGTGACAGAACAGAAGGGTCCCGTTAGGGTTCCGAGCCAGCCAGCTTGGCAGGAGCAGGTCATGAGGCGTTCCTCTCACGGAGTTGCTACGGTGGCTTCCAACAGCCCATCTTTATATTAGCATCCAAGAGCTTAACCACGGCACCGCTATGCCTCTTACACGTGTGTGTCTGTGTGTGTCAGCTGGAGCTGTGGTTCAGGGCATGGTTACCAACCGAAAGGTTGGACACCCAACAGGGTCACTGTCAGTAGGGACTGATGTGATGGCAGCAGGTCTGGTTTTGTGTACAGGTCTATTAGTTGGTTAGTTAACTAGTTAGTTGGTTTACTAGTAATTAGTATACTAGTATAACTAACAGGTTGCTTCCCCTGCACCCTCCTGATTGCTTTGGATGTGAATACTAAACTCTGGACTAGGGTAATATCAGGCGGGAAGAAGACCCCCTTAGGAATTGTCCCGTATTCTCAATGGAACCTGTGGCCAATGACCGAGAAATCCCTACAGGTTTTCCTGCAGGCGAACGCAGAGGCTGCGCCATGTGTCAGTCAGCTCTTCTCCGCCGGAGCCCAGAGTGGGAAGGAGGACAGCCTGGCTCACGGTGGTGAAGGCAGCTGGACTTGACCATGGGCTAACGGAAGGAATGGAAAATAGCCGGTTTGTCCAAATCTTGTTTGTGCTTCTTCGATCTTACTCTCACTGAGCAAACATCGAGAAGTGTTCCGTTTATCAGAGGGCTTCAGTAGATTTGCAGCAGACCCCATATCAAGGAGCCCTGGGCTGCTAACCATCAGGCCAGCGGTTCAAACCCACCAGCTGCTGCTCAGGAACCCTAAACAGTGTTGCCATGATTGGGACGTGACTCGACGACACTTAACAACAATCACAAGAACTAATATCAAACTCTAAGCCCATAGCCATTGAGTGGATTTCAACTCCGAGCCCCGAGGTACTACACAGGAGAGCTGCCACAGAACGTGTTCTTGGTTGTAATTGTTACGGAAGACAGCCAGGTCTTTCTTCTGTGGTGTGACTGCTTTAGTTTGAATCTCCAACCTTGTGGTTAGCGGTTGGACGCAAACTGCCTGCTTCATCTTCATGGCCCCTGTGCAATGCTGCTACTGCATGCTGTTAAGTGGTTTCTGACTCATAGTGGCCCTGTATAGGGTTCCCGAGCAGTGGCTGGTAGGTTTGAACAGTTAACCTTGCGGTTAGCAGTCCCGAGCTTATCCTATAGCACCACCAGGGTCTTCTAACGACCAAGGTGCCTCAGTGTCTCCGTGAGCTCAGGGAGTCTGTAACTAGCAGAGCTTACTAGTGACAACAGTGCTTGTGAACTAATGTGTTTTTCTTCAAATTTCCTGGGATAAAATCACATTCCCGCCTTCTGTGTCTGCTTGCCCACCGTGCCCTCCCCCTCTAGGGCATTGTCTAAGCAGTATGCTAATTAAACAACAGATTGCACTGGACAAATCTGCTGCAAAAGACCTCTTTAAAGGGTCAAACAGCTAGGATGTAAGTTTGAGGAACAAGATGTGCCTGGCCCACGCCCTGTCTTTTCAGCTGAAAGCTGGGGAAGGAATACGGAAGATCGACAAAGAATTGAAGCACCTGAATGATGCTGGTGGGGAGGAATATGGAACGAGCCAGGGACTGCCAGAGGAACGAACCAAGAGTACGGCCAGAATGCTGCTTAGAATCGAGGGCGGGGAGACTGCCTCTCACGTACTTTGGTCATGCTGTCAGGAGGAACCAGTCCCTGGAGAAGGACACTATGCTTGGTAAAGTGGAGTGTCAGTGGAAAAGAGGAAGGCCCTCAGTGAGCTGGATCCTGACACAGTGGCGGCAGCATTGGGCTGAAACGTAACAACAATGGTGAGGATGGGGCAGGACTGGGCAGTGTTTCGTTCTGCTGTTGTTCCTGGGGTGGCTCTGGGTCAGAATCGACTCAAGGGCATCTAACAACAACTTTAATGTATTTTACATGTTGCTGTCAAAATATTAGCATAGCTTCTTGTTGTTAAGTGTTGTGAAGTCGGTTCCGATTCACAGGGATCCTGTATGGGGTTTCCAAGGAGCTGCTGGTGAGCTTGAACCACTGACCTTGTGGTTCAAACTGACCTTGCAGGCCAGCGCATTAACTCACAGCACCACACTTATGAAAAAAACCTAGGGTTGAGGAGGGAGTGGTTAGCAAACAAATGTAGACGACTAACGTTATCTGGGTAAAAACACTGTATATCACCCCAAGAGCTACACTTTCTTTCCTTCAGGAGTGGTGGCATGCGGACACTCTGGATACAGGAATGTAATTGTTAAGTGCTGTTCACTTGGTTCTGACTTGTAGGAACCCTGTCTAGGGTTTCTGAGGAGTGGCTGGTGGATTTGAACCAACGACCTTGTGGTTCAAACCGACCTTGTGATCCAGGGCTTTATCCTGCAGAGCCACACAAGTGGGAAAACCTGTAAATTAACATGGAGACACTTAAACCTACATTCCACTGACAGTTTACGTGTCTCCTGGTGGCACAGATAGCTAAGAGCCTATTAGCCCAAAGCTTGGTGGTTGTAACCCACTCCCACTCAGAGAAGATTCAGAAGAAAGGCCTGGCGACCTCCTTGTGGTGCATCACAGCCGTGAAAACCCCATGGAGTAGTTCCACACAAACTGACTGTAGACAGTTACAGATTTCTTTAAGGAGCCCTGGTGGCACAATGGGTTAAGTGCTCAGCTGCTAATGAAAACATTGCTGGTTCACACCCACCAGCTGCTTCTGTAAAGATGAGAGTCCCGGAGGCCCTCTGGGGCAGTTCTCCTCTGTCCTCTAGGGTGGGTATGAGTCGGAATGGACGGGACAGCATGGATTTGGTTATGTTTGACTACAGGTGCTGCATGTTGGCATGGAAGCCTGGGGTCCCGCTGGCTCTCATCTTTGTCTCACAGCAGTGTGGTCCCTTCTGCTTACGACGGCTATTCGTCTGTACTGTCTCCAAGATGCAAATGCATCACGGCACACTTCAACGGGAGACTCTCTTTCCAGACACTTGACCCTGTTAGCAATGTCTCCTCTTCTCGACGGCACTTGAGCACAACTCTCTCAGTCACATTGTGGGAGATGGGCAGAAATCGAAAGAGGAAAATGCTTTTTGAAAGGGGTCTAGCCACCAGCACAACCACCACCCTAGGTGGGCACATTTGGGGAAGCCGAGGACCACCAAAAACAAGGGAGACCCTCCTGGGGACGCACTGGCACTGCAGCCTCAGGAATGTACCCAAACATTCCACACATCATGGGGATGCCACAGAGCAGGCCACGTTTCCTTCTGCTGCAACAAGCCAGAGACAACTCGACAGCCAAGACCGAACGACAGACGCCACCATGAGGGATCATCCTGGCAGAGGGGTCCCGTGTCAGCTCAGCCTCCTCCAGGAAGCCGGTACGGACTTGGGGAATCACGGCGTTGTTCCTTACCTGCCCTTTGTACTCCACGGGTCTCAGGCCTGAGTAAATGGGCACAAAGCTGCTGGCCAGCAGGACCTAGACAGAGAAAGGGAACAAGCAGTGCATGGGCACAGGGGCTCACGGCTGTGGTGTGGATTTGCTATACGTTTACTGTAACTGACGTGCTCAATCAGTTCACAGACTTCAAGAGAACAGCTGTTATTGTTGTTAGGGACCCAGTCAATTGGCAATCTTGGTGATGGAAGAAAATTGTCCACTAGGTTTCCTAGGCTGCCACCTTCATGTGAGCAGATACCCAAGTCTTTCTCATGCAGAGCCACTGGGTGGGTTCGGACAGCCAACCTTTCAGTTTACAGACGAGCGCTTAACCCATTGTGCCACCAGGACTCTTAATACACAAGTGCATATACCTAACTGAAAGTAGAGGGTCACTGAAAATGTTGTTGGGAGGAACCAGTCTACTGGAGAAGGACATCATGCTTGGGAAAGTTGACGGTCAGAGAAAAAGAAGAAGACCCCCAACGAGATGGGCTGGCACAGTGGCAGCAGCAGTGGGCCGGACTCAACGGCACCTAACATTAACAACAACTAAGAAGTGCTGCCCTGCTGATGCCGTGTGTTAAGCATTGAGCTGTTAACCAAAAGGTTAGCGGTTCCCACCCACCCACCACTTTGAGGTCATCTGCTTCTTTAAAGATTCTCAGCCCTGGGTAACCCAATGGAGGAATTTTAATCTATTCTGTAGGTTCCTCAGGAGTTCAAATCCGCTTGATGATCGATGGGTTTTCTGGTTTTACATAAAAGACAGCTTTTTAAATATCCAAAAGGGTCCTAAAGAGAGGTGTATAAGGTAAGGCACCCTGAATCAGCAACTTCACCAAAGCACAATCAGCATTTCAATGTTAGATGACAACCAAGTCATCAGGTAAAGTCGACCTGCCAGAGTCTAGACGAACTGAAAAAACTGAATGGCTCATTGGAGTGGAGCCCCTGGGTGGCACAAAGTACTCAGGCACTCAATGAAGGAGCTGACAGTTTGAGTCCACTCAGATGCGCCTTGGAAGAAAGTCCTGGCAATCTGCTTCTGAAAGATGACGGCACTTGGAAACACGGTGGAGCACAGTGGTGTTCTGCACACATGGGCTACCACATGAAAATCACCTTGACAGGAAATGCTGTGGCTTTCTTTGTTGTTAACATAGACAGTTAAGATTGTTTAAAAACTGTATCTGATCAACAGAGAGGGAAGGAGTCTTCACATCAAGTATCAATGCTAACCCCTCTGTACACAGGGCAGATAGGGACGGGCAACTTAGACATTGGCTACCTAAAATGAGGGGGCGATAAAGGCATGAAGTGACTGGCTTACAAGCTTTCAAGAAGGAGTTTAGTTTAAGAGGGTGCGGGGGAAGGTAGAATCCCCACGGAATAGTCTTCATCTTGTCTACATGGGTCTGGTGAAAAGAGATGGGGATAAGATTCTTATGATTCAGTAGTGAGTAACTGTTAACATGACTAATTGTGACTGTCACAATTGTAAAGGTAGAAGTTTTGTAACAAAAATGGGGTAGTAGTTACTCTTACATTACAGAAATAGAGGATCCTAGGGCCATCAAGGGGAAAGAGCACAAGCAGAATGTGGGACCCTATTGAGAGAAGCAGCAACACCAGAGAGGGAGCAGCTGAGGACTCTAGCTTCATGGAAAGAGAGGGACTGAGAGCTGGTGGCCAGGAGGCAGGCTTGCAGAATGTGCCCTTTGGTTGTTTAAATTATTATATATTTCTGAGTGCCGCACCCCCCGCAAAAGTAAAACAAAACTGCATCTGATTTCCCAATGCCACCAGGTTGTTCCTAAGAGGACAACACGTTGCCTACCCTTAGGGACCCAGCTGCGGTATGTTAACAAGTGGTGGCAGCCACAAAGGACAGCAATTATACTCTGTTTGGTGGTGTCTGTGTGCTGACGAGTCAGGTTCCAACTCAGAGTGACCCTGTATAGGGTTTCTGAGGAAGCTGTAAATCTTTATAGGAGCAGAAAGTCTTATCTTTCTTTTATGGAGTGGCTGGTGGGTTTGAACTGCTGACTTTTGGCTAACCGCCCAAATCATAGCCCACTGTGCCACTAGGGCTCCTTGCCAACTATACTCTGGGCTTCCATTTAAGAGTCAAATAAGACTTGAGTTTTGTTCCACATTTCCCCCTAGGACCTTCAGAGCAGTTGGTCATGATCACTGGGCACCACCTAGCACTCCAGTCTCAGGACCACGGACAGCGATGTTCCTGTGGTCCCTTAGCCCATTGTCTCCATGCGTCTTCAACTGTCTTTGCCATTTTCCCCTTCGGACAGGAGAGACCAACAGTTGTACCTTAGGTAACCTCTCATGGGTTTACTGGTTGGATAGAGGCAGGTGGAGCCCATGAATATGACCGTTAGTCACCCTTTGGGTCCCCTGTGGCTCAATTTTCATTCAAATAACAGATCTACAGGGGGACTAATAATACCAGAGAGGTATGCAGTTCTTAGAATAGTTGGGCAGCTCTTGCCCAAGGACATGGTTCAGAAAAGCAAGAGGGGAGGAGAAAGCAAGTGGGAAAAGTGATGTTACACTGTGAGGACAGCAATCAATGACCAGAAACAAAATGGATCTGAATTGTAGAATGGAAAACTGATGTGCTCTGTCGACCTTCACCCAGCCCTCATCGTCATTTAGGAAATGGCCCGTTCTTCCTGTGGTACAACTAGGACTCCGGCAGCTTTCATGTCAGGGAAATGCCATTGTTTCTTGGCAGTGGAATTGTATTTGAGAAGAAACAACATTAGATATGTAGAGTATTTCAGCTACAATCTTTCAAATGAGAAAAGCAAAGATTTTAGGACTGTTTATTGTCAGAGATTTCATGAGATTTTTTTTTTCTTCCCCCTTCTTGAACAGGTGTTATTTGAAAGTGGATCTTGGCCCCAAACTGATTTGTAAATCATCCGTTCAGAATGATGGAGAACTCAGAAAGCATTTTCCTCCAAGAAACAATATTATAGGTATGATTTTTGAGGCCAGCTCTCAAAGAGGCTATTTATTCTGAACTGCAACTAAATTACAGACCAGACACCAGCGTAACGTGATTTTCACAGGAAAACCCTTCCAGAGTTACAGTGCACCACAGCCGGAGTCTGTTCCATGATGTGTTCATTTCTGCACCCTGGCACTGCGCTTAGAACCGAATTACTCACACAGAAACTCCACCTTCACCCCCACCTCCCTGCTAACAAGATGCCACGGGCGGGGATAGTGTGTTGTCTCTTTGTATATTTAGTCGAAGGAGTCCTGTGGTGTAGTAGTTCAGCGCTTAGCTGTTAGCCACAAGGTCGGCAGTTTGAAACCACCAGCTGGTCTGTGGGAGAAAGATGTGGCATCCTGATTTCATAAATGGAACACCCCAGTGGAGAAGTTTGGAACACCCCAGTGGGGCAGTTCTCCTCTGTCCTAAAGGGTCACTATGTTGAATCTGACTCAACAGTAATGGTGAATTTGAAAAGTTGGTGGGAAAATCCCACAATCTTTTGACAACATTTATAAAGGCACCTTTTGAAGCCCCCAGTTGCTAAAAAAGGACACTGTGGTTGGTCAGATCAAGGTCAGCGAAGGCGGAGGACACTCTGCAAGAGATGGGCGGTACAGCCCCAACGAAAGGGGCAAACATCACCCCAACAATGCTGAGGACGGTGTGGGGCCAGGCGCGTTTCCTCCTGCTGTGCACGTGTCCGCCGTGACTCAGACACAACTTGTGGGCACGGGAGGCCCACTGCGAGGCTCCCTGTGTACGGAGAGGTGGGCTGCACACTCACGTGCAGCACTGCTTCACGGGGGCAGAGCGGCTGCTGGTATTACTGCATGATTGCTCACGATGGCTTGACAGCCTAGAGCAAGAGTCCATGTAGACACAACCGCCTTCCGAAGGTGCCATTCCTCTCAGAACGTTGGCTTTGACTGGGGTACCACACTAGAGTGACGTGACAGTACCTTCATGTGCTCATTTCACAGGTGGGCAGGGCTTGTGAGGATAAACTCACATGACTTGTTCAAGATCACAGGAGCATGAGCCAGCGGTTCGGTTTCACAGAACGTTTGCTTGCAGTCTAGGCCCCTGCATTCGCCCTGGCCATATTTGACCCGATCATCCACTAGCTAGTCTGTTATAGACCACAGTAACAGCTCGGCACACTTTGCAAATACCTGTAGCAACTTAATGACGTTATTCCACGACTGTAACTTGACACGGCCCTGCAAACTGAGACAATTTGTGGAGAGCATGCACAACATGGAACAACTGTGCTTAGAGCTCTTTAAAGGACCAGAGACGCTCTTTGAATAACTATTACAATTATGCTCCAAACACTGAGGTGCCCCACAGAAACCAAATCCCTCCCCTTCGAACCAGGAGCATTTCAGTCCATGTCAAAGACTCACGCGTTAATGCTCAATTGTTTGGGGATGTGTGGATGAAAAGTGCTCTTCAATTACAGCTGCAGTCAGTAACAGTGAGGTCCCTCCTCAGTGCTACGAGACAGGCAGTGATCACGCTGGAACAGCTGTGACTCCGCCAATCAATGGACCCGCTCCACTGTAGCTTGATCTCCTTTCACAGGCCTTGTTGATGATTTGGACATCAAACCGAGTTTAGGGGGAAATGAGCTCGGGATATTTAAGGACTAAGCAATTTCTCTGATGTGTACTTCACTTACAGCTATTTTACTGCTGGCAAATAGGATTCTGGAAAGGAGGAGATGGAACTGGGCCTCAATGTGTGCTTTTCTTACGTCCCATCTCATGTCTTCCCGGGGAGATTGAGCTCACCAATAACCCTCACTCTGTGTAGGGCCAAGAAAACCCCACACCTTGGCCATCGACTCCGCGGCCACAGAGCACATCAGCTCCTTCAGGTTCTCTTGGTTGTTGTCATTGTGGAGGCACATGGCTAGACCTTTCTTCCCCAGTGCCACTGGACGGTTCAGATGATCAACCTTGGCCACGTGGTTCCACATCTGTCCACCACACTCATTCCCAGTAGGTCCGGG